CCCCCCCCAAAATACTTATTTCTTCACCAAATCGACATCCTTCTCAAGACAGATGCGCCCTTGTGCTGAACAAGAGGTCCCACCAGAAGTCCCCCTTCTTCTACACACGTTCTGACACCGCACATCAAGACGAACGGCAAACTGTAAACTGCAGAGTGGCTGCACTGCGTTAGTTAAGTCGGACGGCAGCGTTGATTTGGCTGAGTTCCTCTCCATCACACACGTTAAGATCCAAGCAGCAGAGTTAATGAGTCGACTCCACCGACCCCTCGTTGTGCAAACATTTGACCAATTGTTTGTGAAGGAGGATGAAAACTCCCTTTATCTCTGGATGCTTGGTTTTTAATCTGTGTTTGGAGTGACGCAAGAAACCTGCAGCTCAACCGGTCGATTATGCTTTGTCCTGCACCCCCTGGTTCTTTAGTCGTAGTCAGGGAACCAGTAACCTTAAAAATTTATTTTCACTAAATCTATTTTTGCTTTTTAGCAATTCTTCCTCTGCATTTACATTTACACAAATGCTGCAAGCTTTGGTGAGTTTTAAAATCTGGTTATTTCGATTTCTAGTTGCTTTTGAACCCGTCTTCTCTTGCTCAGTCATCTGAATGTGTAAATGCTTTGGAAGACTAAACCGTTACTGGTTTCTCCTTATAATCATGCAGTGTGTCTCTCAGCCTACCTGCATTAGCATTTTTTTTTCTTCTGCAAGCTAAGGCAAAGCTAAACAATGAAACTAAAACAGAACTGCAGGAGCTCCTTGTTGTTTGTCTGCTGATCTTAGACCTGACGGTGCTTTAACATCTGTGACACAAACACTAACCCTGCACATTTACGCTCGATGTTCCTGTAACAGTTGGCAACAAGCTGAATAAACTCGTAACTGACCTGCATCCTTGGTTGTTGACTTGTCATTTGAAATGTCACACATCACAGCATTTCTATTATAACAGGCTGCAAACGCTCACGAAGCACAAAACATAAATTCCCTGTTGAACAAAGTGATTTCATATATTTAGAAATGTCAGTTCTAAATGGTAAAATGTGCAAAAATGCATATGTGCTATTCAGCTGCAGCCTGATTTGGGATTTGATGAATAAAGAGAACTGTATGTTCAGTGGCTCAGTTATAAAAAAGTGTGTTTGACAAAAGCAGATCAAGACGTAACAGGCTTATTTCTCCACTAATGACATCACGTCCTAAATAATCAGCCAAGGTGAATTTTTTTTCAGTCAAATTAGGTGAAATTATGAGGCTGTTTTTGCCACATCATTCATATTAGTCGTATATTTTATTACTTATAATCTCCAGTGTAAAACGTTAGAGGGATGTGTAACTGGAATATATGACTAATTAGAATAATTACTAACAGCAACAGTAAATATTTAGATGATTGGTTTTTGAGAGTGATGTTTTGTCCTCGTGAACATTGATAATAAACGTAAGTTGGTCATTTTTCTTGCTTAAACTTCTCCTTACTCACAGCTGTCAATGTCACAGCAGCAGCACACAGCAGCACTGCACCATTTCCCATCCTCCCATGGTTCTGGGCGAGTGGGCTGTAGCTGTAATGTGGTGGCAGTATCATTAGTCACGAGGCTGACACCAGGCGTCCCACTCAAAGTGAAGGTGCATGAAATTCCTCCTCTGTGTGCGATAGAGAGTTTATCTGAAGCTGATTAAACCAGACTTCAGGAGTCCAAGTCAGATCCGTGTACAGCCTCGTCAATGTAAAATTCCTCATCTGGAAACTACGAGACGAAAAGAAGACGTTTTCAATAAAAAAGGCTGCAGCTCACCTCGATGTGTCTTTGAGGTCCACTGGAATCATTTTGTCATTGTCTGCTTGTGTGCAGTCATTTTGTGGCTGTTGTGTCTCACTGTGATCAGGTAATGTGGATTTGTAGTTTTCTTCTCAGTCATTTTGAATCATTTTGTGATCAATAAAGGGTTTTTGTCATCGTGCACATGTTAATTGTCGTTTTACTGTGATCATTCAATGTGCTCTTGTGGCCGTCTGTTTGCAGCCATTTTGTGTATTAACATCCTTTTTTTTAAATCTTACTATGATCATTCAAAGTGTTGTCATTGTGCACAAGTCATTGCAGACACTTAGACACCACAGAAGCAGTATGGACACATTCTGTGTTCTTTTAACCATTGACTTTAACACACGCTGCTATTCACCGCCTCACCTGCAGGGGGCGGTGACTTTGAAAACAACGCGTCCCTTTGCCGATCACTTCCTCCGGTCAGAGGTGAACAACATGGCCGCCTCCGCACGGAGCTAACGTTTCTGTGTCAATGATAAAACGTGTGAATTAACCGCGGACGTCCGTCGCTTCACTAACCGGCACCGAGTTAGCGCTTATCACCGCGCCGCCATGTTCCCGGTGCTCGGCGGCAGGACCGTGCAGGTCACCCGGCTCCTCGCGCCCAGGAGCGGCGTGCTCGTGGCGGCTGTCCGCGGCCGAAAGTCCCGCAGCGACCCGGTGGCCAAGTCCAAAGAGGGGCGGGTGAAGGTGCCTCCGCCCGTCGACCCGCTGGAGATGGTGGTGATGAAGGAGAGGTTCTCCGAGTACCAGCTGATCATGAGGGCGCTGCGGTGAGTGAACGGCCCGGGACACCGAGGAGACTCATCTGCCTCTGTCTGATTCTAACCTTTAGTTTGACAACATTTGTGCTCGTGTTCTGATTTATTTTAATAACTGAAAGTGTTTTCTGCTCGTGTTGCACGTGTCTGCGTCTCTTTGCCTCCTGTAAGTCCTTCTGCAGGTGTTATGGGTTATTTGCAGTCGCCTTGTGTCATTTTGGTAGTTGTTCTATCTGTTTATAGTAATTTTAAGTAGTTTTGAGTTTGTTGTATATCTGTTTATATTCGTTTAAAATCATATATTTCTGTTAAGTCATTTTGGGGCTGTTTGGTGATTTGCATCATGTTAATCCTGTGGTTGTTTGTGTCTCTCTGAGTTTGTGTTTGTAGTGATTGAACTGAGCCAAGTGACCAAGAATTATAATGTTTCCAGGTCACATTAAATGTTTTTATTTCACTATTGCAGTTCATGAATGATGTAGTATTTAAAAAAAAAAAAAACCCAGCAGATTACATGGTGTATTTTGTTTTTACTTGGTGAAGCTGATGTGACTGAATTGAATTGGTCTCTGTGTTCGTCAGACTGGAGTTTAAGGAGGAGATGCTGCGAAAGAAGTACGAGGAGGAGACGGGCTCTCAGGCGGAGGAGAGGGCGAGGCAGGAGGCGGAGGAGCATCGCGCCCTCATGTCCTGGAACAACCAGGAGAACCTTCGTTTGCTCAACATCAGGTGGGAAACAAGACGATGAAGAAAATAAACCCTGTTTAAACACATGAAGTTTTCTTCCCAAAACAATGAGGATCACTCAGCCTCTCGTCTGTTTCTTCCAGAGTCATGAGGATCCAGAAGGAAAAGGAGGAAGCTGAGCACAAGAAGTTAGAAGCTGCCATGAAGCGGGAACAAGAACACGAAGAATTCGTCAAAGAAAAAGAGAAGGAGATTCTGCAGTTGCAGGTATAAAGTCTTTTAGATCTGCTTTGCTTTTTTCTCTTATGCTACAAACTGCGAGGGACCTTGTGATCTCACAATTTGAGTTTCATTATTTTACAGGAGGATGCAAAGAACTTCATCAACTTGGAGAACCTGGATCAGCGAATCGAAGAAGCTCTGGATAATCCAAAGAACTACAACTTTGCCATTGACAAAGAAGGCAGAGTTGTTAAACAGACGGTGCTGCAGTGAAGCGACAGACCAACCGGTCTCAGAAGAAAAAGACAGACGGACGCCTGCTCTGTCTAATGTGGGATTTTCAGTCGAATCCGCCTGGAAGTGAATGAGAACTGTAAAACACAGTCGGGTTGAGAAAGCTGTTGTATCTGTTAACAGAGAAGTATTTCAGAATCATTCATCAGCAGGTATCTGCATCAAATTGGGATTTTAAAGAAGTTGATGGACAGGTATCAGAAAAGTTTGAGCTTAGAGTCGATTTAGCTTCTGACAGAAGGAGACGACATCTCCAACTTTAACAGGAAGCTCCTGTTCGCTGCCTTTACTTTCCACACGTCTGTTTTCATCTCTGTATGAGTCGTGTACTTTCATCATTACTGTCTGTTCGTGATATATAACGTATACATAAAGTAAAGTAATGTTTATTGGGGTTTACACAAAATATTTTCAAACAGTATAGGATGAAACTGAGTCCATCTCTATTTCTGAAAGTCATTCACAACTACTTGATCTTTGAGTAGTTGAAAATGTAAAACTATAATTTCTAAACATTCTTCAAAATGGATTTCTAACGTCACAATCACTTCCTCTGTTTTTGCACTTTGAGCTGCTGGCCTCTAGGTGGCGCCCCGCTTAGCTCTCCGCGTTGTGTTTACAGTGGGAGGGGTATTAACCAGCTCATGTGGGGACGGCGTGCTGCAGCAGCTGTGTAATCCTCCTGTGTGGCTCCAGGTCACAGGTTGATGAGATGATGGTGATCGGAGGTGAAGAGCTGAAATAACCTGCAGCAGCTTCAGTGAGAAGAGGGCAGGGATCAGCGAGAGGACGTAAACACGAGAATATCCTGCTTTAAATATTCACACTTAACTTTACAGATTCTGAAAAAGAGTTAGTGAGGTGTTAAACCCCACACTGACGGAGGGAGGAAAGAAAACTACACAACACTGAGCTCTTCTTGTTTGAACAACATTCTGTGAATCACCTTTAAACTCCTCTAAACAAACTGCTCTTCATCTCCATCTCCTCTTCATCAGTATCATACGTGTTAACTGGAGGTGTAGAGACGAGATAAAGCAATTAGTCAATTAACTGAGTCCATGTGCAACTGTTTATATAATTAAGGGTTTCTCAGAAAAGGCATTTCAATGGTTTTGAGGACGTTACCTTTGATTTTAGCCAAATTAAATAGTGTTGTTCGTTATTTTCTGAAACTTGTTGAGGAATTTATCATATTAAAATAAAAAATATATTTAATCAGGGTGATAGAGAAATGTAATTAGTTCAAAGCTAAAGCAGAGTTGTGTGTTTGACACTGACTTTATACAGAATAGGTGCATGACAACACTGCAGTTTTACACTGACTTGACTTGCTGTCAAGCTGTGCACACGGTTAATGTGATTGCTGACCGGGGTTAATGGGATTGTTCGGCCGTGGCAGTGAAGAGTGAGATTAGCGGTGGATTGAGATGAACTCTCAGCTCAGCAGCTCAGAACTGGCAGCAGCTCTCACAGACACGTCCCTGTCACAGTCTCTGTACTTTCAGTATTTCACTGTAATTATTGTTTCTCTGAGCCGAGCGGGACTCACACTCGTTAACGTGAAGTCCTCAAGAACTAAATCATTTAGTTTCTCCACCAGACATTTAAATGAATTCACCAAAAAATCTAGTGAGTATAAATTCAGATGTAGCCTCCAGCATTTCCATTTGAGCCTCAACAAAACCAATCATTTTAAAAAACAAGTTCAATATAAAGATATATCGAATAAGTATTAAGCCACAGTAGAGTCAATATTGGGCTTTAATAAAAAGTAAATATTCTTGCATATTCCTATTATGTTGACTATTTGTCAATTTGGATTTATGTTTATTAACCTGTAGATTTCATCTGAAAGCCCAATGTCTGCTGTACAGAATAATGTACTGTTTTAAATCTTCCTTTTAAAAATGACTCAAGTGAGAAAACAACAGTCTCTGTTTAAACTGTGAACGTGTCGTTCACAGAGATCAGCTCCTTCAAACCTTTTTGAATCAAAGACGTCTCTGAAACACATGACTATTGTTCCTCTCCTCTTTATTTGGTGCGGCAGGTGCGAGTACATCAGTATACAAACAGCAACTCTTCAGGGTACTTGTAGTTTTGTTCAGTAACGGCTAATCCTCGACTCTAAACGACTATTATAAAATACACGGACTAACAAACAGGTTCCAAAGCAAACTGACAATAACGAACGAGCACCTTGATATTGGTAATAAATACATTCATAAAATAAAATAGCTGCAGAGGCAGGTTTGAAACGACTTCTTCACGCTAACGCTCCAGTTTAAAGATCCAGGTGAACGGTTTCATGTTATGCTCCGAGAAAGTTTTTCACTTTTTCCCATAATTCCCCCAGTGAGTCTTTCCCAGAGTGTCATCTGTTCCTGGTCCACCCTCTGATCTTTACCTCCACCAGCCAGGTTGTGTTTGCAGTGTTCGTCCGTCAGCGCTGTTTGTGGAGGTAACTCATGGATCTTAGTGAGAACAATCTGACGTATTCAGGGGACTGATTTCTACGAGTGTGAGAAATACTACGCGGATCCCAATAGATCAAACGTGGCTTCATGAGGAAACTCAACTGAGTGGCATTCTAGTTTCCTTTAAACACAATGAAATGATCCCACTTCAGCTAAATCTGCACCCGCCTGTTCTGAGTAAAATAAATCTGGTTACAGAAAAATATGAAAAAATAAAACACATTCAAAAGACGGCTGTTCATTTGTCGTACGCAGACTCTACAACGGACCTTTTAAAATCTTTATCTCTGTTGCTCACATTAGACTGAAAGAAGAAAATCCACAAAAACATTAGCACTTGAATATTCAAGTATAATAACACGTTCACCAGAGGAAAATACTGCAAATACTGTGTACAACAAATAATCTGACATATACAGGGGGGGAGAGGGGGAGGGTCTGTTTTGGCACATGAAGAATTTGTGTCTTTTATTTTTGTGGTGTGATTTTGTTTATTAAACCTCTTTGTTTCTCATACGGTGATTGTTTTTAAGAGATCTGGTTGTTCAGCTGTCCCGGGTATTTGTCGAACCTCCTCTCTGCCTCTTCGCTGAACGCGTCACCTGCACAGAATAAAAACCACGAATGAATCGAAGCCACATTTCACGTTAACATCTTGACAGTGTTAGTGTTCGTGACTGTTTACCAATGTGGCAGTTATGGAGCCAGATTCGATGGCCGTCGTATTTGCAGTTGCATTTCATGGCGTTGTTGGTGAAGTCGCTCTCGGCCACTTCCTGATTGGGGTTGATCACAACCTGAGCGGACGAGACACGTAAAACAAACCAGTTGATAACAGGATGGAACCGTTTTATAAAAACCTATGGAGGATTAACCGACTCAAAAGATGTCACTTGAGTCAAGGGGCATTGTGGGTAATGTGGGCTCCAGGTTTTGAAACAGAAGAAGAATTTAAAGAATAAAAACAGACGATTTTCTCTGTTTCTGCTTCATCGACTTTGATCATTTTTGAATTCTTAATTGTTTCGTTGCACTTGGAGTAAATAACTTCATGGCTGTTTTTTCGTGTCTGTGTTTCCTACGAACTGGTTTCAGCTCGTGACAGTAAACATGTGGCGTGTGGTCGCTGCACTCTGACCCTCGCTCCTCCCTCTCTCACCTGCAGAATGTAGTTTCCAGGTTTGACGTCACTGATGTCGATCCACTGGCAGTCGATGTCGTGACGGTACAGATCCCAGCATCCCACAGTGATGCCCTGGTCGCCAAAGTTAGCGCACTCGTATCTCTTGGAAACACCTGAGATGAAAAGATCCCAAAACTTTTACAGACATTTTGAAGATGATCCTATTTTTCTGATATTTAGAAATAAAAGTTCAGCTGAAGAAAATAGACGATGGACGACAAACAAATAATTTAAATCTTCTCTAAATCTATTAAAGTAAAATATTACCTAAATAATAATCAGCTGGATGTGAACATGAATAAGACAAGAGCTGACATTTGAATCTCTAAATTTCAAATTTAATAGTCACTTTAAAGATAAGATAACATTTAAGCTACTGAATTGTTGTAATGATATTTGCAGCAGGTAGGTGAGACTCTCAGCGTCTCAGTGGTTTGACTCTGAAGCATCACACTCACTCTCCTGACAGTCGGTGTCCTCCAGACAGAAACTGGCTTTGTGTCCCTCGGCCACTTTGGTTCCGTTTGAGTTCATCAGATCATAGTGGGTGAAAATGTTCATGCTGTGATAGTGGCTGTTTTAAAAAAACAAAAAACAAAGTCTGATTCCACGTTTGGATCATTAGAACTCAACAAGTTGATCTAAGTCAAACTATTCTCCAGAGATCAACAACTACTCTTCTTCACTAGTGAAGACTTTACCCGTGGCAGGCGTGCCAGACCCATGAGTGCCGCCCGGCCTTTGGCTTGAAGTCGGCCCGGCCGATGTTGTGGATCTGGGAGGAGAAGCGGAGCAGCCGTCGGTGTCCGTACGGCCAGTCTGCCTTGGCTGCTGACTTCGACAGGCAGTCCTCCTCGGCGGCGCAGTAGAGCATGTGCAGGGGCCGATCCTCGATGTAGACCGACTCCTGGACCATGGGGGCGTTCAGGACCAGGTCAGAGGCCGCTGGACACAGGGGGACACGTGGTGAAGACACTGTGAGCCCCTGAACAGAGCTTTAGTAAATCATCTGGAACTTAACTATTTGATTTTTGGGGGATTTCAGGTTTTTTTGTTTTGGGTTTTGTTTGGATTTATTTCTGTTAGTTCCTGTTTTATTTTACAAGTGTCCTACCTTGTGTGTCTCTTACTTCCTGTCTCTTACTTCCTGTCTTTGTCTGGTTTCCCTCTCCTGTGATTGGCTGCTCCACCCTGATGTGTTTCACCTGAGATCAATTATCTCTGTGTATTTAGTCTCTGTGCTCCCTCTCCTCTCGTTCACCTGCTTTGTTCCTGTTCTGTTTCCTCGTATTTTGTTTGTTTCAGCCTCTTCATTTTATTTTGTGCCAGTTTTGCTGCCTGAGTTTGAGTTTGCTGGATTTCCTGCCTCCTCGCCTGACGTCTGTCTGTAAGCCTGCTTATTTTCCTCCTGCCTCCTCGTATCGGGAACAGAAACTTTGCTTGCTAGCATAAGTCAATAATTTGTCTTTAAGGAATTGAAATGTGTCGACAACGTGAATCACAAATCTTGTTTTTCCACAGACAAGATCATTGATTTGTAAAAAAGGGTTGAAAGTGTCATGTTCAAACCAAAATTACAGACAAATGTTTATTTTCTTGCTTTATATCAATCGAAGACCTTTAGTGCCTCAACAGTACGTTTGTTTGTTGTTTGACTTAAATCACATGTTCATCTCATGGAAGTGAATCTTCTTTTCTCTTAATGATTCTTTTTAATAAAGGAAATTAAATCAGAAACCAAGTGTTGCTGGGTTTTTTTTACTCACTCTCAGAACAGATGACTCCAGCTGAAAACTTAGCTCCTGCTTTCTGGCAGCTGACTGTTTTGTGGTGTTGACACTGACTCAGTGCCATCTCGTTTCCTGTGCACTTCACGCCGCTCATCAGCATGTCCGTCACGTTACTGCTGTCCCAGTACCAGGTTTCCTTAGATTGGGTTCAACCATGAGAAACAGAAACAAGTCATTGAAGCCATTCTGACCATAAAGACAGATTATCTCTGAATAACTCAGCTTAACCTCAGGTCACTTTTTTATTTTGCTGAAATAAAAGATTGTGTTTTAACAATGAGGGTGTGTATCAGAGGCTTTTAATATCCTGTGAAAATGAAATTATTACGTATTATTACTATCATATTTTCATTCTTTTGTCAAGAATTATAAGATGTTATATTTTGTGTCCATCAAATTCATTTCTACCTGTCAGTTTTTTTTACATGTGGAAGTTGTGTCAAATGTGCTTTTATACTTGTAAAATTCTCAAATAGAATTGGTTTGTAATCGTTTTTACAGCAAAGTGTTTGAAAATTCCCTTCGACAGAAATAATTCATAGTTTCGAATGGATTATTTAAAACTGTTTCTTACTCAAGTTGCTCTTGTAAGATAATTTTGTAAGACTGAGTGAATTTGTCATTTTCATATGGCCAGGGATTTTTTTTTTTTAAACTACATAATACATCTGAGGAGCTTTGACCTGTGAACGTTACATTTTTCATTGTGGAATAAATCTCTAAATCTTTGGTCCTACTTACAGTGATGGCATGCATGGAGTAGCCGAGCCCTAGCTGCCTGCAAACCACCATGGCTTCCCTCGTGGTCCAACCTGTGCTGCACACTGTGCCCCACTTGGACCCAACCTGAACCTCCACTCGGCCCTCATAACTGCTGCGGCCGCCCACTATCCGGACCTGCAGAGACGTCCTGCTGGGAGTCAGTGAGGGGGGCACACTTCCTGTCCCGTCTCTGAACTGTCTGAGCTAAAACTGGCTGCGTTGACACTCGGTCCTCGGACAGCGGAGAACACGTCGTTAAAGTAGCAGTTGGGTTAAAGTTTTACAGGCGGGGGGGGGGGGAAGTGGACGTGGCGTCCACATGAGGTCACTGCTCGGTTTTAGTGGTGAGTGGCTTTAAGTGAGATTAGAAACTTCATGTGCGGCTGCTCTGCCCACATGGAACAAACCAGAACTGCGCCTGGTTCTTTCATTTAGGAAAAGAAGCATCTACTCCATATGGAAACTGTAATATACTGTCACATGTTGCATGAACGTGCAAGTTCATTCTGAACAAGCATAACACCAGTTAGCCTTACTGCTAAATCAATTTCATCAGCCTCTATGAACAAACGTTTGAGAAATGGCTGATAGTGGAATATATTTGAACGTGTAGGCAGAGGCTACATCAGAATATAGACCTTCCTGTTGGAGCAGCTCGTTGAGCGACAGGAAGTGGTTTTCTGTTCTGGAGTGATGGGTTTGCTGGGTGTTAATGACAGTATATTATATTTGCATATGTCAAATATCCCAACAGTTGCCCTCGTGCTGTTAGTGACCTACTTGCAGGCCTTGGTTAGCGTAGCCCAGGCCCAGCTGCCTGCACGCCACCATGGCCTCCTTGGTGTTCCAGCTCTCTCCGCAGATCAGACCCCAACTCTGCGTCCCGTTCGAGTCCGAGCTCAGCACCTCCACACGGCCCTCGTAACGGGTCCGTCCCCCCGTGAGTCGGATCTGTGTTTGGCCAAAGCGTCAGGGACCAAAGAGCGGCGCATAGATACACAAGAACTGGGTTCTGTGTGTATCTACAGGAGACAAGGACGAGTATAATCTGGAACAATACAAACTGTACAACCAGAAATACTCGTAGAGGGAAATCACTTGTCTGAAAAATTCAAGGACTGTTTGAATTTTTCAAACGACACATGTCGGTCTCACTGGGTTTCAAGTAATTCAACTAATTCAATATGTACAAACATTAAACTTCAAACTTTTTAGTTTTGTGAGAGCAGCGAACAAGCTTTGAGTGATTGGCTCTAAATCTAATGTTAGGAAGAAAAGCCGGTTCACATCAGAAAAGGTTAAAACAGTAAAAAAATAATTCAAGTTCTTTCTGCTGCTTTTAACTTATTCAGCACAATTCTATCAAAACTATGATTATGGTCTAAAAAGTAAAAAAAACTTTGAGCATGAGTTTGAAGATGAATCTGAGTGTGACGGAGGTTCAGCTCTGACCGAGTTCTCCAGGCCCATGTAGGGGATGTTGCAGCGGACGCCGGCGTCCTCCATGTGTTTACAGTCGTCGGATGTGATGTTTTTAAAGGGGCAGTTCCAGATGGACTTCTCCTGACCGAGGCACTTCACCTCGTTCATGTAGATCGGACCAATCCCTGGACAGATGCAGGATTAAAGACAGACTCAAACAGCGGCCCGGAGGTTAAAATACTTCACTGGTACATTGGTTCACTGGTTCAGTTTGTTGGTGTGAAAACAAATCTGACTGATTAGCTCAAATCTGGTTGAAAGGAACGAGCCCTTTAGATTTTGCAGATATATCTTTATTTTTGTTGATTTCTCAAATCTTGATGTTTTGGGGACTGATGAGTGTTTAAATTGAAATCTTTCTCATTTCAGTGATTCGCTGAGACCCCCTCCCCCTCTTCCTCCTCATCAGTCGTGGTCTCCAGAGCCCAGGGACGTGACGTGTTGCTTGATTGGTGGTTGAGGTACGTTTTCTTCTGTCTGGTGGGCGTGTCAGGTGTTTCCCAATTAGATGCTCATATAAACAATGGATTCTTAAGTTCTCCTCAAATGTGGCAGATGCCGCTCGGTATTCACATTTGTATTCTGATTAAATAAATAACCTCTGCCGTCTCGCTGGAAACTCCCTCAATGCACCATGAGCTGTTGTATTATATAATTTCTATGAAAGGAATTCCTTCAGTGACTCATGTTTCCGACTTTAAGGAACATTTTTTTAACCGAATCAACCAGGTAGTGGTTTGACGTCCACATGAGACACGGAGCAGGTTCGCTGCTGCCTCAAAGAGATTCTGTGACGAGGAACAGATTCTCAGCCAACTTCCTCTGAGGTGGAAATCATAATGTGTACACACACACACAGACACACACACACTCTGCTGCCCTTCACAAGACTTGCTTGTTTCTGCACTGGTGGAATCTGAGGATGGATAAATACCTGAATGCCAAATGCACCTTCATGTTCTTGAGTCACTGAGACACACATTAATTCTTAAAATACAATTTTGATTAAGATCCTTTAAATATTCCTCGAGAAAATGTAGAAAATCCTTCCTAACCCTTGATAATCTGTCCAGTGGTTTTTCTGTTTCCTTGTTCACAAACTAACCAACGAGCAGACGGGGGTGAAAACAACCTCATTGGCGGAGGTGATGAATATGAAAAGTGTGACTGAGTAGAAATTATGATTTAAACTAAGGAGTGTGGCACGTTCTCTGATAAATTACACTTATATATTATAATTATCAATAACATCATCACCCACGTTGTTTATAATCTCAGACAGATGGAAGTAGACAGAAGGAGTCACAGTAATCAAACCCATCTGTAAATCTCTTACAATAAATTGACTTTAACACTTTTTCCTGCGTCCTGTTCTAACAGTTTGTTTTCTGTCTTTCATTCACAACATTCCTCTGCTTCTTAAAAAAGCTCATACTATGTAGGAATGTGGAGTGGGGAGCAGAGAGATCTGTTCTCTGGGGAGGAGGAGAGATGACCTGAGAGATAAGACACAGAGGGGATGACTGAGGACCTCTCTGAAGACACTTATACAGACGTCCTTAACTCAAACGTCCTCAGGTGAAATATACGTTTTGCTGCCAGAAGATTAACGTTATCAGAACGTCTCTTTTCTCCTCTGACTCTTGAATCTCTACTAAAGACAACATTTGTTAGGATGCAGAAATTATGACGTTGCTTGAGATAAGATTGAAACATTTCCTGAATTGAACTCTTTATGATTTCAGGGTAGGGACGGAGGACTGTGTCCACATGAAGACATAATGAGGCCATTCTACGAGTCTGACGAAATCACACATGAGTGAATGTTCCAAAGTTTCTTGGCCTCCTCACAAAACAGTTTGGCTGACTCCTTACTTCCTTCTTTATCACTCCTATGAGAAGTTTTAAAGATGACCCAAAACATGAACTTCAGAATGCACATTGCACTAAATATTCAGTCAGCTCCTCCATAGACTGTTTGTACATCACCAGTTTTAAACATATTTCTCAACTACTCTTTGTTTCGGCACAAACCAATGATTCTTTGTCTGTTTCCTTTTACAGGGTTTTATTTCTGACCTTGTCCCATGCGGGCTCCGGTCAGAGCCTCCTTGGCGCTTCCAAAGCCGAGCTCCCTGCAGACGACGCTGGCCGACTGAAGGTTCCATCGATCGTCGCACACGGTTCCCCACTCGTTGTCTTTCAACACCTCCACGCGGCCCTCGCCCAGCCTGGCTCCGCCCTTCAGCCTCACGTTGCTCTGGAAAACCAAACAGACGAATAAAACTATAATTGAATCCACTATAATCTGACCAGGCCATTGGACTGCTTATTACAGGCTACTAACTATTTTTATAGTTTATAATCCTCTATGTAGAATGAATAATTCCAGAATATAAATTTGATATTTTTAGTTTCGAAGGTCAGCGAGGAACTTTCACACTCAGACTAAACAAACGTTGGTTTTTAAGGACCCAGTTCCACTTCAGTGACAAAAGCAGGAGAGACAGTTTGTGGAAACTTAAAAAAAAAAACAAAATTACCGATATTTTAAGTTTCTTTTTCAAGCTGTTGTTTTGCGTGAACAGCGGCCCCGGCATGCAGCTGACGACAGCCGCCATGCCACCGTGGCAGGCAAACGTCGCGTTTGGCTTGTTGAACTCCAGGGGGCAGGCTGCCAGGTGGACCTCGGTGCCTGTGCACGCCACCGAGTGGAGGTGGAAGTAATTCTTCTGACGCTCCAAATACAACCTGCCGGGAGAAGAGACGGGGGCTGTGATAACTTTGATACTGGAATGAATGCATGGATGCCTTAGTTATGTTGTGCTCAGTGAAATGTAAAGGCCTGACGATGTATTCACAAGTAACACAAAATATTTCAAACACAATGCACAATCCTCCTGATCTACAAAGAGAAACTGAACAATCTGACTCCAAATATTTATCACAGATACTGACAGTAAATTATAAAAACAGTTTTTAGTGGCCTAAGTTTTATTGTATCCTGGAGACCAAAAGAAATAACATGTCCAGTAAAGTCAGATATTAAAAGAAATAGATTTAACTCGGGAAACAAAGATGTTTTGTGGATAATACTTATTGACTTTCTTGCTTTAGAGTTAGAGGAGAACATTGACACTCAACCCGGAATCTCTGAAGCTAATCTGAATTAACAAATCACATTACTTCAGTCTGGGATATTATCAGACTAACTTTTCCGCAGAATGTTAGTTTTGGATGGAGTCGGGGTAACGTCCGCTTCCTTTCCAGTCGCTATGCTAAGCTAACTTCACACGACCTCCACAGACCTAACTGTGTGGAGGGAAAGCAATCAGTGTTGTCCCTGGACTTCTTTGAATAGAAAATTGATAAAACAGAAATACAGAGATTTAAAGATCGTTCTCGACTCTAATCGTTCTTCCAGCTTCTGCAGGCTTTTGTTCTGGAAACGCTCCCTAAGCAGCCACATGTGCAGAGCAGGTGTTGGCACTGGAGGGGATGGAAGTGATTTGGATAATTAGCTTTTTATATTCTAGTTAACGTCGAGCGTTTTCTCTGCTGCTGATCCCTTCTCATCAGTTTGAATGTGTGTTGTCTGTGAGCAGCGTGTGTTCGGGTCTTTTCCCGCAGCTTGGATTGACGGGGTTCTCCTCAGATTACCTTTTGCCAGCGCTGCTCTGTTTAGACTTAGAGTTAGCTTTAGCTGTGGATGTCTGCCTGCAAGGTAAACACGGGTTAGACGGCACAGTTAGGAGAGAAGACCAGAGCAACAAAGGTTACATGACGCACAGTCAAGTTAAAAACTGTTGAAGGATGTGTCCCCTTCAACACGGTTGTTGTTCAATTAAATAGTTTCAGTTCAAGTTTCAACATTTGTTGAAAGTGACACATTCTTTTTAAACTGAAGCAAAAAAAACAAAACACAAACGTGATAATTTAGATTTTAAAAACTTTCTCATTCCATGTTTCTATTGAGCTCAGTACATACACATACTATCACTGCATGGCTGGAAGTGTGTGGACACATTCGTCTAAATACTCAAGTGTACTTTTCCTCTGGGGACATTTTTCATCTTTTGGACAAAACACCTCAGTTGCAATTAACGGAAATATTCGAGTGATATTTGAAACAATTTTCTTTGCATTTCAGATTGTATGCAGAGATGGACGACATGACAACTCCCCAAAAGTGAGGCCAAATCCTCTTGATTGCCCCCTGGTGGCTGGCTGCAGTATCCTCATCTCCTCCATGTTATTAGATGGGACATGGACCAAATATGATACGATATATATATATATATATATATGATATAGTGTCCATATACCTTTGGCCATATAGTGTAAGACAGGTTAAAATGAAATGTTAGTAGAAACTGATCACATGTGAACCTCAGGTTAACACATTGATTCAGGTCGATGTATGGTTTGGCTTTTTGTTTGCTCTTCAACTTCATCAGTACAAGGCCAAAACACGAATCTGAGTTTTCCTCAAAACAGAAAGTCAAATATTAAGTTACTCTGGTCAATTAGAATATTTAAGACATCATAAGAAGAATTTCATTATGGTTCACCTACAATAACAAAGCTAGTGGTTGAGCACTGAAAGAATTAATTCAGATTTCTGCTTCTGCCTTCATTATTGATATGCACCTGTGGGTTATATGAGAGGTGAAGAAGTTTGAATTGATTATTAAGGCTCTTTAAGTTTTAAACCTTTTTGCGTCTTCTCACAGTCAAGTTTAAGAAAAGATTAAAAAGAATTCGACTTCCTGACACTTTCAGTCCACGTGGCAAGCTCCACCCACCTGGCACTCTGAGCTGGCTAAAACAAACGCTGAGAATTATTTGCAGACCTTGGTCTTGTTGAGATTTATGAGGCCTATGACTAATTCAGTTGAAGAACTCAGAATTAAAAGTCACGTGCCAAAAAGCAAACCATGATGTGGAATGGGATTTTCACAGTAAAAGGACTAAAAGAACAAGTCCCAGTTGCTGACATGGTGCAGATTGAAAACACCTGATCACAGTTTTGATTTCACAGGGTTTGTGCAGTAGATCTGGGAACCAGACATTTTAAGAAATAAAGCCTGCGATGAGGTGTCACTTTGTACGATCTGTGCCATGGCAGAAGAAACTTGAAAGACAAACCAGAAAACTAACCCTCAACACCACAACCTTTGTTTATCGCATGATCAAATCACATGAGCCACCCGAATGCTGCACATCTTCATAACATCAGAGAAAAGAGAGAGTCAACGACTGAGAAACAGGAACTAAATGGTTATTTCTACTCCGACAGGAAACCCACTGTCAGAGCTACAGACGGAGGACGGTGGGTTCTCCTGTGACTGAGTACCTTCCACCGGCGGAAACATTAACCTTTGACCTGGAGACCTTCTCAGCTGCCTGCTTTTTCAGATGTCTGCAACAGTGAGACAGCCAGATTCCATCACATACAGGAGAGAGACTGCATGCAAACACACACACACACGTACTGGCTGCACACACACACACACACACACACACACACACACACACACACACACACACACACACACGTACTGGCTGCACACACACACACGTACTGGCTGCACACACACACACGTAGTGGCTGCACACACACTTGAAGCAGTGGAGGGTCAGTGGTGAATAACATTTTTGACATTCCACAGGTTTCCAGTATATTATGTTACAGACTCTATGTCACCACTGTATGATCACAATTACACAACTATTCCAGCTATTCTGAAAATGTTCAATTGTTTGATAGATTTGTTGAAATAATCAATTTTCATAATGTATTCCCTTGTTCCAACTTCTGAGAGTTTGCTGCTGGTTTTCAAATGGCTAATATTCTACCTTAATTCTATTATTGTGACATTTAACTTTTGTTTCCGGACAATTGTGTTGTGACGAACGGAGCCCTGCAGCGGTCAGAACATGAACTCGCTCATACTTTTCCTCCTCAGCTCGTTAATAATCACAAATAACAATCTGAAATTCCCAAACAGAAGCAGAGAACATGAAGTGTTTGACCGGTACTCAAACAAAACAACTTGTCTTCTCTGTCGATCCAGAACAGAGCAGAGGGTTGAGCAAACATTTCCACTTCCTGTGTGCTTTGCTGTAGAGCTGCTGCTCTAGCAGACGATAGAGAAAGACCACACACTGTCGAATCCACTGTGAATATCAGGTCCAACAAAGTTCACTCTTAAACACACAAAGACCCGGTCTGTGTCCTGCTGAGAGGAAGGCTAGAGATATATTCTCTGTTGCACGTTCGCATAGACGACCAGTGGTTGTTACTTGAGTATTCCACTAGAGGGTGCACCACAGAACTCATCACATTCTTTAAATTTAACTCATGGCGACAGCGAGTAACATACGAAACTAAAATATGCTGTTAGCTTTCTGATCGTCAGAATCAATAGTTGTAGTCGAGCGATTCTCTTACTTGTAGAAGTTCTTGTTGACTTTCCTCTCGTGTGGGAATCCCAGCATGCCGCAGACCACGTGGGTGTTTTTGATCGTCCAGCCCAGGTCACAGATCTGGGCCCAGCCGTCTTTATATTTCACCTCCACGACACCCTCTGTGGTCGGCAGCTTCTTTTTGGCTGTGGTGACGACGGGTCGGAGCCGAACCTCCTCCACTCGGTTCTCGTCCACCTGGCTCTGTCGGGGGGGGCATTTAATATAAATAAGACAATTAGTGATTATCAGTAAAAAGATTCACTGGACATTTTGAGTTTAATGGATGAAAAGTACAATTCCCAGAGATCCAATGAAAGAAATCTGTCTTTATATCATGAATCAAAAGCAGACACAGCGAGTCGTGGCCTTGGTGGAGAGGTCTAACCCTCATAACATCTCCAGCTTTGCAATGACTCACTCTCGTTCTGATTTATTAAGGGAAAAAAAAAGAAAAGGCCTGGCTGCTCAGATTGAAGTCTGGACTCCACATCTGCGGCAGAATGACACGGAGTCGTTACGCGTCTGAAAGTCTGAAGTCTCTTAAAAACCTTTCTTACTTCACATCCTGCTACATAACAGTGACACATCATCCAGTCATTTATCCAGGCTGTTTCCACTGGTCTGTGCAGACGACTCTCCAGTCTGACCTTGTTCACCTTGTCAATGCGGGGGAGTCAAATATTCGAGGAATCCCCTGAGTGCAGGATGAGTCATTGAATCATTCTGCAGGAGGATAAAATATCAGTTCTAGTTCATACTGACTCAAGAGATTAGTTTGCTGAACTCTTCAGTTTCCCAGTGTGAGATTTCTCGTGTGTTAGATGAACACAGTCACTCGATCACAGTTAATCTGGAGGAGGAGCTCCAGCTGTGTTCTTCTTCTGTGCTTCTTCAGGGGTTGGATGGAGAAATTCCGCAGAATGTCCGGATCCTCTCACTCTGACATTTCCGTTCTCAGATGCGGCCCCGCGGGAGAATGTCAGGAGGTTCTCCAGACGTCAGTGCACGTTTGGATGCTGCTCTGATACAGACGCTTGTTTGGTTTAGAAGCAGCTGCTTGGAAGAGGTTCAGACACATGGTGCAGAGTTTATTAACTCCGTGTGTGAGGCAGCTACACATGGAGCGTTTAAAATGTTTAAATATCGTCCATGTGGGTTAAAACTGCAGGCGTCTATAGGCTGTGGAGCAGTGAGACTGTTAACATGAGAAGTTAATGGGTCTCTAACTGTTTTAATGAACTGTAAACACAAAAATAATTTAACAATCTCGTTAAATCTTTTTCAGTGACTTACATCGATAACATTTGAGTCCAAAAAGCCGGGAATCCTCTCGTCCTTGCACACGACTCCAGCGTCCTCGTCGTGAGTGCAGTCGCTGTTGCCCCAGCCTCGAGACTTGCAGTGGTCGATGCTCCTCTCCCCCCCGTTACACTGCACGTTGTCCAGCCAGATTTTCCCTGAACAGACAGAAAACTGTCAGACCTGTGGAAAGTCATCAGGACACTCGGCCGCTTGTTGCACTGGTGCAGCTGAAAGTATTTATGATATCATTGCATTTTTCATGATTTAAATTTCTCAAATATACTGAAACGTTTACTTTCATTCTAATTCTGTCGTGAATATTCGTTAGAGACTAAACCTCTGATATAAAATGCGACAAAACTAAGAGTTCACCTCATAAGCTGCTGTGTGAGCTGCAGCTAAATGCTAAAGGCTAACATCAACTTACTAACATGCAGATGTTTAACAGGTATAATCTTATTTCATGATACTGCAGTAACTGTCCCTCGTCTCTCTCTCCCCCTCTCTCCCCCTCTCTCTCTCTTCCAGTTGCAGATGTCCACTGACACTGACTCAGGTTCTGTTGGAGGTTTCTTCTGACTAAAAGTGAGTTTCGTCTCTCCACAGTGGAGAAGTGGTACCTCATTGTGGAAACTGTTGAGTTTCTCTATAATATTTACCATGTAAATGTTGTGATTTGTCGCTCTGTAGAAATGCCAGCATGGTGACTCGTCCTAATCTGTACTTTTATTTACCAATAAGGACGTGGAGATTTAAAAATCAACCTTGTTGAACGGAATCAAATCAAACTTTCTGCCTCATGCAGCAGCTGAACGCATCTGAGTCGTTCTTCTTACAATGGAAATCAATTGTTGTCTGGAAAGTTCTCATATTCTCATTAATGTGTTGCACCAGCAGGTTCCTTCACTTGCACCTTGTGTCTGGTTCATCCCAATCCAGGTCTGGAGACTGTGCTGCTCGTCCATCATGTGAAGGCACCGTCACTGCTGCTTCTCCTTTTCCCACCTTTCTGATTCCGTAACATACAAAACTACTTCCTGCTGAACGTTATTGTGGTAATGATGCATCATGGGGGCTTAAACTGCTGAAATGTCAATAAAAACTGGAGCTGTTGAATAACTTTTGTCTTTTATCATCTATCCAGCAACTCATCTGAATCCCTGTGTGAATATTCATGTCATTTTGAAATTTCCACATGGTCGACTGTCGCTCGTTAAACCAGAAACTGAATCTCAGGAAGTGTCTGCGTGGATTGGTACCTTGGCCCTTGCCGTACTTGGCGCTGTGTGTCCATCCTGTGGCGGACACGAAGCCCAGCTGGCGGCAGAGCACGTTGGCGTTAGTTATTGAGAAGTCATCATCGCAGATGGTTCCCCACTCCCCCTTGTAGAAAAGCTCCACTCGGCCCTCGTTGTGTTTTCGGGGGTATCCTGTCAGTCGGACCTTTAGCCGCTCTGTCTGAGGCTGGGGGGTCGCAGTGGGTTTCACCGTCGTCTTCGTGGCTGCATTTGACGGCGTGGTCTGGGTTACACAGCTCGGTAACAACAACCCAAACAGGAGGCTGAGTGCTAACTGTTGTCCCCGTCTTGACTTCTCCATTACTTCAGCTGAAGGAAAGACAAAAGAGGAGTCTGAGGTCACATCTTAAAATGAAGAAGTGGTTTTCTGTGAATCAAAGCACTGAATCCTGGGTCCATCACATTTTGTAAAATGTCAATATCAGTGTCATTATTTTGCACATCAAGAATGAAGTTGACATTTTAAGATCAAATTCGAACTTATATATTGCACAACTAAAGTTAGCACATGGGACGTCCTGGTTGAAAGGCCTCGTGGAGATGAACTGATGAAATTGTTCCTCTAGTTATGGCGCAGAGTTAATTCTTTCTCTTTTATCATAAAATCACATTTCGAATATTCCGAAAAATGAGAAACAACACGAGATGGGAAAGATGTCTGTATATTCTAATAATCTTTATAATTTCTAAAAACCCACCTGTGATTTTTATGGATTCTGACCATTACATTTCAACCTGATGTATTTTCGGGGCAGAGCTCACACAGAGGTGCTGAGAACAGGCTGAACGTACGGAGGCAGGATTGATGTGAGTGTGGCGTCGCCCCAACGCTTTGATTCAAACCATCTGCTCCGCCATTACTCGACTGTGACGACCACACGATCGGGCACAAAGACCTTGAATGTTTCATTTGATGACACTAACTGCAGTTTGTCTGTAGCTTCACGTTTTTCACCATCACGGCGCCATTCATTCATATTTTTCCATACAACAAGCCGCCTTTTCAAAATGTTAACTCTTCTCTCTTAAACCTTCCTGTAAAACCGACATAGGCCTTCTATTGATGATGTGACAGCTACACTACTTAGCTTTTAGCCAGTGGGGGGGGGGAGGGGGGACACAAATACAGTAGTGTGATGTGTTTGTACAGGAACCACAAGCTTCAGGTTCCTTTTCCAAAACATGTCTGAGACTGAGTCCAGTTTCACAGTGAAGGGACGGCCCCACACGTCTGCAGAGCCACCGCGTCTCACCCGAAGCCACGTAGTCCTACACCCGTCTTTCATTTCTTACACTTTGAAGATTGATTCTGTCTTTTTACTTTGGCAGAAAGAATCAAACTGCGTCCATCACTTTTACTGTTTTGCTGTTGCTGGTTACACAAAGTCTAAAAAAAAGTCCAAACTTTGTTATTGTCTCTGAAAAACTAAATGAAGCGGTTCATTTTGTAAACGTCGTTGCCACAGTAACATCGTTGTGGTGAAACGACCAGCAGAGTGAACGTCCTCATCGTTTAATCGTTATTATGTCGTTAGAGGCAACAAACCATCCTGTGAGTCGCTTCTTTTTCTTCTTCCGCTGTTTTATGCCGTCTCAGATTCCGTCTGGAGAATTAAAAAAAAGTATTTTCATACTGCAAAAAGTTTGATCTGGACCCAGACCACCTGTATTCACAGTGTGAAAGCTTCACCTGATATTTTGGTTTGGACTAAACTAAAAAGCCTGAAGGTCCAAACCAAACAAGGAAGGTGTGAAAACCCTTTTAATCTCCTCTTAAATATTTCAACATTTTGGGAAACGTGCTACTATGATAGAAATATATTCTCTGCAGGATTAAAGTGATATTATCTTTTAATTTCACTGCTGGTGATACTGTTTCCCTCCCTGTTGGAGATTTCTGCTCGTTTGTTCATGTGTAGCTTCTCTAGAAAGAACAAATCTTTGCAGAAACTTTCTAAAAGAAATGAAACGTCCCCTCAGTCACTCACTCACTCTTAAAATATGCATTGAATGAATAACACACTTGAAGCTCGAAGGCCCTTTTTGTTTGGTGGGGCATTGTTTTCTTTTCTCTTCAAGCAGCTGGTTGAAGAGACACATTACATCACCAGGGCTTTTTTTTGCTAAGATACAGGCAGTGAGACGATAGACGAGGAGGTCAACGCACAGTGAGGAGCAAATGTGCAGAACTCAGACATGTTCCATCGGCGTTCACACATCAATATATTATATTCTGGGAAAGGTAGTGGCTTAAGTAAGTGAAAGTTTTGCAAAAGACCAGATTTAACATTTCACAGTCAACAGATCGACGTCCTGCAGCAAATTTCACCTGCTGTTCTTTACCCTTTTACTGCTTTCCTGCCCAGACAAGACTGTCATCATCATTACACTCATTTTAAAGCTGTACTTTTGGATTTACCGTTAACAGTTTAGCCAGATCTCGTGGTCGTGTGCTTTTCCCCATTACACTTAATTGCAGCAACGTTTCAATGTTTCCAGAGCTCAGGGATAAAATCGTTTCCGTATCACGGTCAAATCTGAGAAAAATAAGACCCATGTTAATTATCCTGAGAGGGAAAATAACCCACCGCAGCACGTCAGTGGACAAGGGAGTGAAAAGTAATTACAGAAATAATAATTTCATTATTAAATAAAAGAATTTAGAAGGGTCCTCCATCACATTATGAAACACAGACTCCCCAGGATTAGATTTCAATGCAGAGTTATGGTCCTGTCTAACCCAACACTCTGCAAACTGGTTCTCTTCCTCTCTCGCCCCTCGGTGCTCACGGATCAGGTCACGTGAGAAGTCAACCGGGCTGCAGCTCCCTTCACTTCCACACACAAAGTCTTTTCCTGAGAAGCTGCATGTACGCACTCCCACCAGGACACACAAACACACACTCAATCTGGCCGCTAATCACTACCAGAAGTCTGTGGTTCAGCCGACTGAAATAAACCGGTGGTGAAAGCTGCCTGAGCCACAGAGAAGATTTTCTTTCTTCCTCACTGGAGTTTTGTGAAAGTTTAGACGTAAACCGATGATGGAGAGAACAGCATTCAAACGAAACAAGAAAGATTCACCTCCATTCAGAGGTTCTGCAGGAAAAGAGAAAAGTGAAGCGGCCTGAAGTGAAAGCACAGAGTTGGTGAATGAGTTGTGAGGAGGTAGAGTTTGGGTTTGTCGGCTCTCAGCTTCACTCTCTGGGGGGAACAAATGTTTTCCAGACAGAGAAATTTACCAGAACAACTCCCTGATAAGCTTTTAATTAGAGAAACTTCTCTGTTGCTCATCTTCCTGCATGACACTTTTTCTTTTAGCTTTTTATGTGACCTAGAAAAACCACTTGGAAAACATCTGCACAGCATCTGGACCAAAATCCATTGATTAACATCTATAACTGCACGTTTGAGGAAGTTTGAGAGGTTTTTAAAAACGAACAACTCCGCAAATATTTACTGCATCATTTCAAGATAGCTGGTTGCCATGAGAACCATCGTTGCTTAATCAATTAGCTCCATAGAGAAATAATCAACGACAAATTTGATAATTGAAGAATCGTTCCAGTCATTGATTCTTTTGTTATAAATCTGATTATCTTTGGGTTTAAGGCTCAGACAAAACATTTTCAGATGTTATCATGGATTGAAGGTCTGTTTTTAATTATTGATGGATTGATTGATGAAATGATAAAGAACACAATCAGCAGTTGAAGCCCTGGACACCAAAGGGACTTTCACAAGCTGGCAGCCCAAACATTGTTCTAACCTGATTGAAAGCTCGTTTAAGCTTATTTAGAAAGTTTCACTATTTAAATTAGTCCCAGTCGATATTTCTACCATCCAACATTTCAACACTTCAGACTCTGTTTATTTATCAGGTTTTCCTGTTATGACATTCCTCACATTTTTTTATGCTGTGCATCCTGGAACTTTTACTCTTTCACACGTGTGGATATCATGAGCATGAAGAACTGGAGACTTTACAGCACAATGCTGCTGAATAAAGTTCAGATATAACTTTTTTATGTCTGGTTTAAAATGTGGTTCGTAAGTTTCTTGTAACAAAGTCATGAGGTTTAATTAAGTGCAACAAAATAAAACTCTTGGATCTGACTCACGATTCCCAGATTTTATTCTGATGAGAATAAAAACTTGGTAAAAATAAGAGCAGATCAGCTTTACCTTATATTTCCAGTGTGAGGAGGTTACAGCGGTTCCAGTGGAGAGAGAGGGGCTGACTCTTAGAGTTTGATCCAGACGTTCACAAACTGAAAACTCCCGAAAGACAAAAGAAAAAAAAAAAAGGAGGATAAAAATCCTGACACTTTTGTTATTTCATCTCCGTAATGAAACGCGGGTCCAGTTTGCGGTGCGGTGCTGCAGCCAGCAGCCAATTACTCCTTCCAGTGTTACTGTCTGTAAATTGCCAGCTGTACAGCCCTCAGTGAGGAGGAGGAGGCTGCAGCAGTGGGCTGGATCTACTCCTTGGAAAGACACTGACCCTTTCATGCAAGGTTTTGTAACAGGCGAATACATGAGGTCAAAAAAAATGTGATTTTCACTGAGACGCAGCCTAAACATCTTACCAGGTGGTGTCTGCCAGAGATTTACAACCTGTGTTGTAAGAGTTTCTTCATTAAAGGACGTTGTCTTTCAGTTCGAGAGCAGATGTATTGTTGAGGTTTGTAATGTTGTCACTCAAAATCCTGCGCTCGCACTCAAATAGCAACAAGAGGAGCTGGAGCTTAAGGAATGTTTTCAAGCAACAACACATCTGAGTGCAATGCACAGTCTGCAGAATATATTTGATATTTTATCATTAGAGTATACTTTCCTGAATATCCCCTCAAACTTTTACTTCAGTAACATTTTCAGTACGGAGTGTTCAGGTGAAGGATGTGGGTACTTATTCCATCCGTGCATATTGAACAACATTATAAACACCACGAGACGTCACCAAGATATGAAAAGCTCATATTTAATAGAACCTTCAAAAACAAATTTAAAATCTGTGACAAAAAGTCCAGTAAAAGTAAAGTTTTCTTTGCAGCGTATAAACTGAAAAAAAAGAGAAACCTTGACAATGACAAACCAGTGTCTCGTGTTAAAATCACATTTCTCAACAAATGAAAAACAGGCACTTTCTTTAAATAAGATGTGTAAGAGTTTCATTATGGTCCCTGTAATCCATCGTGGACCGGTGACTGAACTAACAGGTGACACCAACTACGTCATGTGCCACTTTAAAACAAAAGCTTCTGGAAGATTGATTGTCCAAAACCAACAATAAATTCAAAACATCAGAATTGAAATACATATTGAACATGCTACACACAGACATTGATTTGGAGACGCAGGGATTTAAAATCTCCATCGGAGGAATGCATCGAGATTCTGAATTAAAATAATATTTTTCCTGAATCTGGGGAAAATTCAGTGACTCATTTTTAATGTTAATGAGGTCAACCGTGCAGATTTATGACTTTTTAAGTGGCTCGAGTGCACTTCAGCAGATTCACATGTCTGGGGTCAGATATGGACTATGAACAAAGCCAATTCTTCAAATCAACCAAGTTGATATGATGAAACAATTAATCCAAACTCAATTGGCATGACGATGGCGCTTCTTAAATATGAAGATTTCCTGATTGTCTTTGTCTTTAATGATAGTAAACTCATTTTGGGGCGTTAGAACAAAAACAAGCATTTTAAATGCAGTCATCTTTGGCTCTGAAATTATTTTTACAACTATTTCTGGACATTATATAAAAACCAAACAATTAATAAATAAAGTTCTGAAGATAAATCAATGATGAGAATAACTGTCACTAGAACTAGTGCCTGTTGTGGTTAGCTTCAATCCAAGCTTTTCTAGTGTGAAGACATTGACTTGATTATCTTTGCACCGTAACACCCATACACTCTCACATTATAACCGAATGACAGTTGTCATAATAGGGTAAAAAGTACTGGCAAACATATGGCCCACGACCTGACACCCAGCGAGGGGTACTGTAGTCCAGAAACAACACTACATAATGACAAACATTATTTCAGGCAGCAGTGGTGAGTTTCCTTGAGATGTTTCAGAACAGACTTAACTCGTTTCTGCAACGACAACAACATACTGACCTAACTTAGCTACATGCAACCTTGACCAGGGCGAGAAAACTGATCCCAACAGCAGAGTCAAAATTTAGAAGTCATTGTCGGCAGTTTTATTTCTGAGAACTTAACAGGGCGTCCAAATGTTGACAGTTTGTCTGCCAAAACCAAAATTTACCAGTAACCCTCTCGTGGCTAACATCTCACCCTGGAAGTGATTCTGAACGACCTAAAGTGCTAACGGTCTTTGCAGCAGATTGACAAGTGCTTCTTTGGATGTAGTTTGGACGGATTAGGACGGATGCAGAAGCTCCAACAGGGCTCCGACTGCTCCAAAGTAACCCTAGAAATAAAAACAACAAAGGCAGTGAGAAATCATTGAGCGCATCAAAGCAAGGAAACACAATTCTGGTCTCGAAAGATTAACAGGAAGGAGAGCTGCTTACCTCATGGCGCAGGAAGAGAGCTTTGAGCTGGCCTTTGGACCAGTAGTCCATAGCGTAGGCCAATAACTTCATAGAGAGGGTGTTGACTCTGAGGAAGTTCCCGACAAACACCACTCTCTCGATGTTCTAAAGAAAGAATGGGAATAAAATTACTCAGGGTAAAAGGTCAATTTATAATCTGTTTATAACAGATTCATTTGAAACCGATCAATTTTTCTCTCATCCTGCTTTGGGCCTTGTTGAAAACGCAGGTTACCTCCTCTACGCCTTCATAGCCCTGTACAATGCTGCTTGATCAAGACGTCACAAGGCAGCACCGTAAAGAGGCTGAACGCAAAGAGGAATCAGACGACAGGGACACTGGAGGGAAAACTCTTTGTCCAGCAATGTTGACGTGATACCCAAAATTCTGACTTTGATACAAACACCAAACCATTCGTATGACACCACAACTACCTTTAGAAGCAGAGTTTTAGAAAATGATGCATCAAAACTGTGACTCACCTCATTGAGAGCACACATCCTGGTGATGGAGCCGATGTTATTGGTGATGGTGACCAGCGTTGCTCTGGCCAGATCCGCTTTGGACACCGACTCCCTCTTCTCTTTGGACATCATATTGCCAAAACTATCCAATCAGAACAGGAGACATATAAGATGAACCGGGATTCTTTAAATGTATCAAGGGTCTTTTCTCAAAAAGCACCAAACTGAAATCAAGGCTTCTTGTTTTCCCTCTGGAAAATGAAACCGAGTAAATTTAGCTCAGCCCTGGATCCTTGCTTCATTAAGGCTGAGACAGTTTGAATAAAAAAAGAGCTGCTGTAAACCGCACCTTGAGGCTACAGCCCAGCCTGGCAGTCCAAACCTCTCATAGTCTCCTCCATAAATGTCCCGAACCAGCTTGTCCACACGGGTACTCTCCCCCTCAGAAGCCATTTCCAGGGCTTCCTCAAAAGTAGAGCACTCGGTCAGGAGGCAGCACAGGCCCAGGAAGGTCCCACCCCCGAGGCTGTAAATACACAGAGATGAAATATAAACTATTAAAACTGTACAAATGTGCAATACATCAAACTCAAAAACAACTTCTCATTTGGAGTTTAAGAGTCAGGACAAAGACGCTCATTCTACAGACTCAATTTAAATGTGCTTGTGTCGTTTATCCTTCAGCGAACCAAAGACAAAAGGTCCATTATGTCAAGGGGAACAGAGACGCTCACGGCTCCTTTTCAAAGCCTCCGGACAGAGAAACCACACGTGAAAACAAACCAGTGGAGAAACTAGGAGGAGGGAAAATGACTTCCCCAAAAAAAAATCAACAGCAAAGTTGCGAAATTTAAAATTTAAACGGGGCACGACTCAAACGAACGAAGGACCATTTTTTTTCTTCGAGTCCCGAGCAAACAGTTGGTCAAGGAAGTGGTTTTGTAGCTGAGAGCAAAGAAAAATGCTGCTACTTTTCACACCAAGGCACCAGAGAGACACGGAGGGCAGATGTCGCCAAACAGGCCACACCCACTTCACCCTCCTGCAAATCCCCGGATCACCTCAGCCCGATGTGTGTCTGCTTGTCTAGTGTCAGGTTGCATTTTCTGTCTCTGCTCTTTTCTCTGCTCACATCTGGGGCCAGTGGCAAACAGTGCTAACTACTAAATCCACTTATTATAAATCTGTAGAATCTAAACCTCACCTCCATTAAAGTATTTTACTTTTCTTCAAGTGAAAACTGCTTTTGTTATGAAGCTGTACACTGATATTTTTCTAGACCTTTCCTCTGTTCTTTTATCAGAAGCTAGTTTCAAGTTTTTACTTTGAGTTTCTATTTTCAGTTTCAGCTGTTATTTGCCTATATGCATATTCAGCAGTTACGGGGCAACGGTATTATTAATTTAGACTCATTTCTTCGGACATCTGTTAAATTTCTGTACAACAATCCCTGTATTTTTGGCTCTCCCTGTGACTCCTGAGGCTAACATCTGTTTTTTAAAATTCTGAATATTCAAACCAAACTGAAACACTGACGCTACAAAGCTCTGTAATGCTGAGGGCATCTGCAGAATCAAGGGATATTTCTCTGCGGCTTAATTTCTTTGAGGAACTTAGATTGAATTCAAACAATTTAATTAAATCTAAGTCAATTCAAACCCTGTGAGAGCGTTTTCACAGAGAGCGTTGCTCCGAACCTCCTAACTCAATACTGAATGTCTTCCTTCCCATCAACCGATATGAAATGTAAAATGACAGATAATCAGTGCAGAGTAAATCTCCATCCTGATAATTACCTGGTCCCTGTGACTCGTTTGTAGTTGTTCTCCGAGTAGACGGCCAGGATGCTGACCCCGGACCCGATGTTGACTAGCAGCAGTGGATAAGGGTTTTCCAGTGTGTAGGGCCTCTGGATGCAGTGATCTGGGTCTGTGGGGTTTTCAAAGTAGTAGCACTCAGAGGGGCCGCTGGACACCACCGAGTCGATGTACAACACCCCCCGAATTAAACAGTCCAGCTCATCCAGCTTGTGAAGCTGCAGGTCCGCCATCTTTTTTTTGTAATGTTGACATAAAGAGAGAACATGGATAACATCACAGAGGGGATGTGGTCAGGAGAACACAGAGGAAGGAAACTGGGGGTGGAGAGGGATGTCAAAACAGGAACCTTTATTACAATTCTAGGCTCACTAAAAAGAAATGATTTAAATGTATACATCAGCTAATACTGTTTTTTTCTTTTACTAAATTTAGAGGTAATTGTACATCCATCAGTATGATCACAGTTTTCTTTACCTAGAAATATTAGACTGCTATCGTCCTGAAATCCACTATCAGTATTGTGTCAATGTGTTACTACTTCCCGTCCCTCCATCCTCACTGTCCAGCCTGTGAAAGCAAACGAGGAGCATCGACACTGCGCTGAAACCCACCGTGCGGAAATCGGACTCGAACTTGTACGCCCCCCCTCCCGTGGCGCACAGCGTGGTGTGGAGGCTGGAGAAGTGCTTGTTGCGGCCCATCTGCAGGAAGGCCGGCAGGTCATGAGTGGGGAAGCGGATGAAGTGCAGGTTGCCCGTCCTGCCGCACAGCGTGAGGTCCTGCAGCTCCAGGTGCACGTCCCTGATGCCCGTCTTCCCGTAGGCGGTGTTGGAGGTGAGGTAACGCCGGATGCTCTTCAGATTCTCCACCTCCTCTTGCTCCTCCTCCGCTGTGATGTCTTTGGGCTCGAAGTACACCAGCTTCACCAGAGTGCCTCCGATGTCCATCCCAAACCAGGGGAATGCTGCAACAATGACAAAGAATGTGTGCAACAATGATAAATCACATATTCACCATCATTTGAATTTAAATGTAAAGCATCTTAAAACACATCCTTCATGTCTGAAAGCACGGTGTGTATAAATAATCACACTGCTGTGTCAGTGATGGCCCACATTCAGACAACAGCAGCATCAGTACAGTGTGTACCACGAACGCCATCTTGTTGTAATGTAGGTCCTGGCTATTTCCTGACAAACCCAGCTTCCTCTATTACACTGTAATACCAAAGCTAGCATCATTTTACAGCTATAGCCTCACCCCAGCTCGTTTACGGGCCTTGTTTAATTTATAACAAGGAAATAATAATGTTAATAAGATCATTGTCTTTTAAAGTCTATAATTTCACCGAGCTCCCTTCATTTCTACATGCAACGGTTCCCTCCCCAGCAGATACACCGAGCCCAGGGCTGCAGCGACGGGAACACCTACGCGGCCTTGTTTTCTTCACCGAGTCGCTCCGACGCCTCGCGGTCGAGTTGGAGGTCCTGCGGTCGGAGGCGGCCCCCCCGGCGGCCTCGCTGCCGGGCTCGTCCCGGAGGTCGCCGGGCATCTCTGCGCTGGAGCGCGGCAGCTTCGTGGGCGTCGCGTCCTCGCCGACAGTCGCATCGCCCTGCTGGAGGCCGTTGTGCGCCATTGGAATCGGCGGTCAGCTACATGTACGCCGGTGAATGCGGTGAATCGAAGCCCGGTAGAGTCGAAGGTTTACGGGCAAACACGGAGCTAATTAGCTAAAGTGGCTCCGGCGTCACAGCGGATGAGGGAGGCTGTCAGGAGGCGGGGCTAACAGCTGATTGAGAGGAGCCACGGCCAATCACAGCGAGAGTCAGTCAGTCAACAGAAACATGTCTGATGTCATTTTCATTTCTTTCAAATTAAAACATCATCTGCAGCTGATTGTAAAAGATGAATCACCTCTCTGCGTCTTCACATTTCACACGTTTTCTTTTTTATTCGTCTGATTCAACACGTTTGAAACATTTACAGCGTTGAGCCCTTTTAAATCTCACTTCTCGTGTCTGAGTTTAGGAATAACACAAATATAAAACAAAGAACAAGAACCAAGATAACTTTGATTTTTCGTTTTCCAATTCTGTATTCTGTATTCAATAGTCTTGTTATAGTTAGTATATATATATATATATAGTTATAGTCTCATTCCCTGGCTACTTTAATACTTTAATTGTCTCATGTTTTACCAACCTTTGGATTTTGCCTTGGTGCGTATAATTTTTATTTACATATATATTTTTAATATATGTAAGTTTGTTGTCTGTTGTTTGATCTCTATTCTCTTTTCAACATCAACCGTCAGAGATTTCACCCTTTTACGTGAGACAATTCATGAAAAAAAAAAAAATCTGTTTATATTTTCTACAGAGACGACATTAACTTGTAAACAACATGCACATTCAATAAAGGAATGTCTATATTTTTATTTTCAGGTTTATTGAAGTGCATAACAAGAAACAGGGCAAACAAATTTAGATGAAACTAAATCTGAGATCACAATTTACACGTTATATTTGTATAATACCGACATTAAATTTCATCTACATTTCTGCAGCTCAAAAAATACTCTTCAAATGTACAAACCCTTTACATTAACCTTCTTTTTTCCTAATATTTCTTGTATCAACAGTGCTTTTTTTTTTACAATAAACTCTCTCACCTCACAGAACATGACACAAACCTGTTTCTATTCAAAGGAGAAAAACAAAATGTCATCTCCAACATTTACAGCTGATGATCATGACACAGAATGCTGTCTAGACCAGTGTCTGCTAAAGGACCCGCCGAGCATGCAGCAAGATATTAGATTTTTTAATGGTATATTTAAAAAAAATCTTATTCTAATAAAGCAATGCAATGTCGTACAGTTTATATTACATTTTAAAACATTAAAACTAAAGAATAACTTTATTTGTATAGCACTTATCTAAACAAGGTTACAAAGTGCTTCACAAAATTAATTAGCAATAACACTGCCATGACAGAAAAAGTGTCATCATTGTTATAAGGAAGTTTGAAAACCACTGGTCTAGACTATGATCTGGATAAATATGCAAAATATGAGCCGAACGATTAAGAGTTTGGCTGAATGACTCTTTGGGTGCTGAATATCTAAGACATTAGGAGCGCTTTGGAATGTTTTTAGTATTCATCAATTCTTAAAATATATACTTAGATTGTCATATAATTTTTATAGAAATCTATATATATATACAAATAAATACAACAGTGCACAAGCGTTCATTTTCATCCCATGTCCCACTTATCAGCAGGAACACAGTGTGATGCTGGCATCCTTTCATCCACAGTCCACATACAGTAAAACCCCAGTCCTTGATGCACTAATCGTTACTGGAGGACCAACAACAGCCTTTTTCTTCCTCCAAAGTGCTTATCAGACAAATGAACATACAAACATTTTTGTCATTAATACACAGCCTGAGAATACAAACCAAATATACCATCCATTATCTATACCTCTTATTCTTTGAGGGTCATTGGGGGCACTGGGGATAGAGCCAATCCCAGGTGACACTGGGTGAGAGGTGGGGAACACCCTGGGCAGGTCGCCAGCGTATCACAGGGCCGACAAACAACATGCCAACATTTAACATTCATGCTTATGCCCAAAAATACGGTCAATTCAGAGTTTCCAACTAAACTCACTTGGGATTGCTGACATACAGTATATATGCTTATAAATAACCTGATCTTAGCTCCACGACGTCCTGTAACTTCAATGAGAAGGGTAAGTTTGTTTTTTGCTCACTAAAGTCAACACGATTAAACACGGTCCAGCTTAACACCAGCCGTGCAAATAATGACATGATTAAAGGTCTGGCAGCTATTATTACTATGGATAATTATGAAACAGCTGCCTCACGCCATCCAGGTCCAGTGACTACAATAAGGCACCATACCCTTAAGATCCTCTTGAACTTAAAGCCTAATCTTCTCCCTTTAAAGGTATTAAATCCTCTTAATTCTTAAACTTCCACGCCATCAGCAGTGCACAGGCGCCCACTCCTGCCGCAGTCAGAATGTACTTTCTATTAGTTGGCAAGGTGCGAGGGGCCGACTCCTCCTCTGAGTCGGGCAGTGTTTTCAGCTCTGGTGTGATCTCCGCAGACTCAGGGGGGAGGCAGCTCTGGTCAGAGGTGGGGTTCTCATCAATGGTGGCAGACGGTGGAGAGGGAGTGATCTCTCTGGCTGCTTCTCCATTGATGAGTTGAGCTTGCGGTGCTGAGACTTGACCATCTAGATTGAGGATGGACGGCTCCTCGGATACGTGCACCACATTCACCAGCACCTCCTGCCTTTCCAGACTCTGACAGAGAGATTCGTAGTGGTTCTCCCCCGGTTCATCGTGGTTAAGTGCAATGCCGTTCTCCAGGCATGGCAGCCCAGAGACATTATTCATGGTGGTGGAGGTTACAGCAGAGCACGCAGGAACTGTATCATCCGGCGCAGCATCACTTATTTCCAGGCGCTCACTATCACCAGAGTACGGCCCTGCTGGTAGACTTTGTACAACGAGAGTAGGACTGTTGTCATTTTGTGGTTGGAAGCTGATGAGTTGTTCAGGCTTGTTCAGAGACAAAGTGCTGTAATCAATGATGGAGGCGTCCATCCTGTCAGCCTCAGGCAAGGGGGAGGTTGTCGATGCTGTTTCTGTCTGTGGGCTGCTTTCAACAACCTGCAGGAGACATTAATGAAACATCTCATTTTTAATAAGATGATTTTTATATATTCTGTGCCTGTATATATGAAGGAAGGCAAATAAAACAATAGAAATAACTTTAATACGAATAAAACAATCTAAGGCCATGCTCTGATAGATCTTAGTCCTGTGTGTACGACTACATCCAATACAAATACTACTTAGCACCGTTTAGCACCAGACAGTTTTCTTGGTGCTGTTATAGTTTATAGTGACTTTCCTAGTAAAACAATGGATTCACGTTAAGGTTAATAACAGACGTCAATTGGAGAGAAGCAGGAAACAGCATTTATAGTAGAATTACAATACAGTAGAATGCATGTGTTTCAAGTCTTTTCAGTATGTTGGTCATGTATTCAATATTTTGGAAAATGAAAAAAAGGACAAGACAATTAGTTATACATTTATATTGTTCATAATAATGTAGATTGAAAATCAATAATTCAATATTCACCTGTGTAATCGGAGGTTCGGTCTTCTCTTCAGGCTCCAGGACATCAGCAGGTATTATATCCTCGGGGGGGGTGGTGTCCTGAATTGGATGCTTCACTTGGGTCAGTATGGGGAAAGAGGATCCGTCGCTTATGTCTGAGTTTGCCTGAGTTGGAGAGGTACTCTGTGGTGGACTGACCTCTGAGGCTGCTGTTGTTCGGAGAGGATCAGGATCAGTGTCCGTCTCACACGGCGTCACCACAGAGCTGACTACAACCTCGCTGTTTTCTGCGCTCACTTGATCGGGAATCACAACGCTGTCACCAGTGATATCCTGGATGTATGACTCAGAGTTTTCCTCTGGCTCCTGGTTAGCTTTGACTTCCTCTGGTGGCGTGCTGGCCACTTCTGTGGTTGCTGTTGTTTGGAGAGGAGCCGGTTGGTCCAACTCCGATGGGGGCAAGGGAGGAGTCACCACAGAGTCGACAAACACCTCACCCTCTCTCGCGCTCAGTTGATCAGGAATCCTGCAGTCAGAGATATTCTGGATGTCTGACTCAGAGTTTTCCTCTGGCTCCTGGTGAGCATTAACCTCCCTCTGTGGTGTGCTGGCCGGAGTGTGTGGGATCTCAGGGGAGGGAGGAGGTGTTGACGGAGGGGGTACCACTTCAATCTGAGTAGCCTGCGGAGGCACAGGGACAGGCTCAGGTGGGGGAACAGCCTGCTCGGCGGCTGGACTCTGGGCTTCTGGTTGCACGGGGGGTTCCAGCAGGGGCGAGGCCTGAGCAGCTGGCTCTGGAGGAGCTGATGCTTCAGCTGGCGTAACAGCCGCAGCACCACTCTCAGGAATGGGCAGATGACTGGCAGATGGTGCTGGATGGACGTGTGCCCTGATGACAGTTGTTGAAGGGGAGCTGGGGTTGGAATCTAGGACAAAGCAAACAATGTGTTTCATTTAAATCAGTTATGTTCGCACATGACTAAAGCTCAGATAATCCTGAAATCCTAAACTTTGAGCTCTCACACTCAGAAAGATGCTATAGACAAATCTGTTTTGACAACCAAAATTAAAAAGCTGAATGCATCTTCCTTGTGATTTCTCCCTCCGTTAGTTATTTATTTATTTTGAACCAGCTGTCTGTTGAGTGGTGTCCCTGCTGTTTGTGCTCATCGGTTTTGTCTTCTATTGTCATTTGTTTTTCAAAGCTGTGTCGTGAAGCAAAAGACACATAACTTAGATTAGATTATTCTAAATGATGCATGAAGGAAAACTCACTGGACCTTTTATGTTTTTGTAGATTAAAGAGGAACGCACTTTCCCCCAGTTTGTAGGATGGTTGAGTTTAAACTGTGGTTTCAATGGCAAACCAATTAAGCTAATCACATTAATTTATTATCTCACATAATTAATACAAAGCTCATAAGGAAAATGAAAAGAATGAATGATTAAAATTAATTGGCTGACTTACTGTTAACTCCTCTCAGAGCGTCGTACTCAGCTCGGATCTCAGCTGCTATCGTTGTGTGCTCACACTCTTCAAGTGCTTTGATAAACTGCTCCGGCCAGTTCTCTCTCCTCCTCAGACATTCCAGAAGCAGCCCCATGCCATCATAATTGCCATTCGTCTCTCTCTTTGCTTCTATGTTTTCCTACAATTACATTTAATTAAAAAAAGCACATCATCATTTTATCAGAGTAGTAACGGATAACTGATGACTTTCAAGTTTAAAATGAACAAACTGCTTTGTCAAACTGCTGTGACTGTTTATACCTACAATCAGAATGCCCCAGATTAAAGTTTTTATTTCAAACATTGTGCTATTTCACCATTAATTAAACAACCGTAAATCCTAATCCTCACACGTCGTTATTCCTAATGAAACCTACCCTGTCGTGAGTGGTCAAGCACGGCAGATGGACGATTATTTCTCTCACTTTCACCCTGCTTACTATGGTTGGCATATTCCGCCGCAGATATCCATTGTAGAGTTTGTCACTGGCAAACGACATCTGTGAAATGAGAGTGTGAACAAAAACACAGATAGTGAAGACTTCAAAAGGTCTTGTAGTTTTGCAAAAGTGTATTTCAATACACTCTACATTCAAATGCATTAGCTGGAAAGCCCCCTTGGCCAAACTCTCTGTCTCTATGCTTCTCCTTCAACTTGAGATGTGAAAGTACCTAAAACACAATAAGGAAACCGGATCTTTGTTGCCTGCATAGGGGAAAATCAATCTAGGGTCTATGAAAATGAAAGTGAAAGTAAAGATCAGGGGAAAAATATAAACTTTTTGTTTTAATTTCAGTTGACATTAGGGCTGTGACTCTTTGAACAGCCGCAACCCTTTTCTTTTCACTCCTACTTTTCAAGGTTGCAGCTGTTTGGCGCAAGAAGACGTTGAACAGGCTCGGACTAGTCACTGATTAATCACCTCAACCTCCCTCTTTAATATCTGAACCTTAAACGAGCAACGTCTAAAGCGACACACACACCCACTTGCTCCTGCGGCTGTGAAGGAATTTATAATTTTCTGTTTGGCAGTGTTTCCACAGGTGACTTACAAGCAGAGCGTCAAAGAAACAGTTCATTGTCTGTCTCAAGGACGGCCGTGAAAATGATAGTCAAGCTGGCCCAGTCCACAAAGACTATTGTCATAACAACCATGCACAGAAAGATATGATGGAACTGAATAGGCATAACACTTCTTTTGTATTGAATACACCTTAAAAACCTTTGCTTTGTTTGTACCCAAACAGTCTGGGTAAGTAATCTGTTGTCAGGTTCAGTCACCGGGAACATTTTCACACCAGCGTCCACGTCAAACAGGTAAAGTTTAGTGTGCATGTGTGTGACAGCAGCAGAAGCAGCAGCTGTCGTCTGACTGAATGGAATAAAAAGTCAGAGGCTGTAACCAAAGAGCAAAGTCTTCCTCGTGGTATCATTAGCCCACAGAGGCCATGGTCTACCTGACTAACACATAGTCTCCGCAAGGTAGAGACGCTGCAGTGTGTCCTGGCCTTTGCAGGAATGTGAACATTTATTATTTTCAAGCATGCATCTGAGTGTAAAGCGATGAGAGACGGCAGATTAACAAAACAAGGGAGGAGGACGAGAGAGGAGGGAGGGAGGAAAATAAACAACTTGACACAAGGACACATTATACAGAGCTGAACCAAAGGAATGACCTCTAAAACCTGCCCGTCAGGACGGTCCCTTCTCTGCCAGAGTCCGTGGCTTTCCAAAAGAATGGGTTCAATTTCAAACACGGCAGATTTGTTTGACTAAAATCTAATAATAATCCCTTAAATCTTATTTTCAACCGGTCAAGAAAAAAGCTCATGAAGTTAACCAGACATTTATACATGTGTGTTAAAGCTTTAGGAGAGTTTTCATGTTCATATTAATGACTAAGAAGACACATGAACAACAGAGGATCATAGTCTAACAGTTGCCTGTCAGTAAATATAAACACTAGTGAAAAATACTTTTCAAGCTTATTTTTAAGATACATTAACTGACTAAAAACTTTAGAAAAGCCACTATTGCACATCAGACACTGACATCTGTCTGTAAACAGTGAAATTATTTAGTGAAAAATACTTTTAAAGCTAAATTAACTGACTAAAAAAGGTCAGTAAGGTCAGTAAGGCTGCATCAACACATAAGAGACTAACACCTGCCTGTAACAATCAAATATGTTGTGATGAAAACCAGTTAACTTCTAAAACTTGTGCAGAATCAGCTGAAAGTTGTGCACAAGCTAGTTCACGTGAATAAACACGACACAGGTTAGCTAACGTCCCCGCTGTTTCCTGACTCCGCTGCCGAACAACAACTCAAATATTCAGTGAGAACATGAATCACACGTGCTAGTCGACGTGATGAAGACTTGTTTATTGAGATGTGACTTTACCTCGACGTGTTTCTCTGCCTCCACAGGTCGTCGCTTCCTCACAGCTGCTGGTTCTGCTCCGACTGAACCTGAGCTCACATCTGCGCCCGAGGAGCAGCCCGTTCTCACTTCCCATTGGACCCCGGCGCTGTCAATCGAAGCCCAGGGCCAATGGGAGCCACGCTGGGGCCGTGGAGGAGGCGGGGCTCTCCGTTAATCCGGAACCCGAGCTGTGACCTTTTCCTCCGATGTGATGGATGACACCGGAATTAGATTTAGGTTTACATCTGTCTCTAATCCCTGATCCTAATCCGAGGGAGAGGGAGAGAACCAGAGAGAGGGGGGGGGG